TTCCCCAACCCAACACAAGAGAGCCAATTCGCGGGCAAAAGTCTTCTTTAGCCAGGAATCTAACCTGTTCCACGCTTTCCAAGTACGCATCAGATGGCTGTGGTGCGATATGAACATACCTGGTAGAGATGTTCTTTCGGGTGTTCCATATTTCGTTTTCGCTCCGGATTCAGACCACTGGCTGCCATATATGCTGCTCCTATAGTTTTAATCTTTTCTATATGACAGAATTCTGGCCGGTCAAGGAGCTCGTCAAAGTCTCCAATCACCTGAAAATTCTCTTCGCAATCCTCAATAGAAGAAATCAAAAAGCCTAGGTAATATTTCTCCCAGTGATCCCGCAAATTAAAAAAAGGAACGCTGCGAACTACTCTAGAAGTAGGCCCCATTCCTCTCCAGCCTTCCGTCCTTCAACGGAGGGTTTTGCTGGTTTTCATTCCGGGAGGTGTTCCCGAAATGAAAGCCAACAAAACACAAGAGGAGGGTGACGGTGAGCCTTTTCTTCTCAAGCCATACCCAAGTCAATCACTCTTGAGGTTTGCAGACATTCATCGACAACGATGTAAGGAAGAATGCAGAAACCTGCTGGTGGCAAACTTCGCTCTATTCAAGGATTATTACTCACACCAGTCGACTCGCCGGCTAACGCCGGCACGCATCCTTTCTGATACAGCCCGGCTGCGCCGGGCGGGCGCGGCTTTGCCGCGTATTTTTTTCACATATTTCTAGACTCAACTGATATCCGCCTTTTGTTCTGTACTCCACTTTTTCCGGTGTCTGAAGTACTCTTGAGCTATTTTACAGATTCTTCGTCTGACTCCGCCCACCTCGGAGCAGGCCCCCACAATGTTTGTGCCTTACAATGCTTCACCGCTTTACCCTTCTGCCGAAGTCGAATGCCTCTTTTTTCGCGGTGTCTGGAGTGCTCTGAACTATTTTAACACGATTTTTCGTCTGCTCGCCACGTCGCCGGGCTGGCGCCACAATGTTTTTCGCCCCACAATCCTCACCCGGCGACCTCTGCTGACCTTAATCATGTTTTTCGCCTGTCTTCGGAGTGCACTGGAACTGTTTTACAGACCTTTTCGTCCGACTCTGGCCCACTCGGAGCAGGCGCCCGCCACAATGTTTGTGCCCTACAATCTTCACCGGCTACCCTCTGCTGACCTTCAATCCTCTTTTTTCCGGTGTCTGGAGTGTTCTGGAACCGAGCTACAAACTTTTAAAATGAATACCCTGCGATTTAGGGCAAGCTCCGCCCACTGTGGGCGGGTCTCAATACACTTGAGGCGTGGCCATATACTGCGGCACATATTTACATTCTACACTGAGTTTTTTGCGACTTCCAAACACTCTCGCGAACCGGGTTACTGAATTTTGCGAGAAACACCGCCACACCTTGAGTACGCCCCGCCCATTTTCGGATGTGTCTGCCACAGTTAATCTGGCGACTCCCTTTGACTAACCTTTCTTCTCTTTTTCCCCCCTCTTTTAAGCTGCTCGCGGCAGCGAATTATTTTTTTCTGCGGAGCGACCAAACTTCGGCGAGTGCCCCTCCCACTGTGGGCGAGGCTTCCCATAGGTCAAGTGTGCTTTTTATTTCTTGTCCCATGCCTTACCCATCCCCACCTTGACCCGACCTCTCCAAGTCGTTCTTCAGGTCGAACGCGAATTTTTCGCGGAAGCAGAAACAAAAAACTTCAAACAAACGAAACTACAAACAACAAATAAACAGACGAAGCGAATTGTATATATAGGGTGATATTTGAGACGTTTCGAGGACTTCAAAGAACCCTCCAATCCAAAAGAGAAAGGAAACGCTAGGGTTTGTCCTACACTTTCTGCGAACTAATAAGCTGTTCATGTTGCGATGAGAACTAGTAGTGAAGCTCACCTCATTCAGAACTCTCAAGAATTCACGTCCTCCTTCGAAATTTTCTTCATACATGTCATTCCAGTTCGTGATACTGGCAAACAGCACTGCCGTTGACTCATGATTCTCACTGGAATGACTCGTTTTCAAATCAGTTCCGTGGTTGTAATAAGACCACTGATTATGCTGCGTGTAGGCTAAGGAGACTGCTGTTGATCGATTATCGCCCGACAAGCTTCTGTTTTGATACAAAGACTGGATGTTAGCGACTAAGTTAGAAGACGAGAATCATAACTTCAGTATTGGTCTCTGAAGTATAAACTGTCACGCTTCTCTGCTGTGGATCCTAAGTCCTCCGCCGTGTGTGGTAGCGAGGCAGTTACAGTAGCGTATCACAAGAATCATGTTTCCATTTTCAATTTGTCGAATTTTTAAACAATTAATTTCAACAAAAAACTCTAAAATGTCTAGACGGAGCGTGGCCGGGGGCGGGGGGGGGTGCATATGTGGTGGTACGTAAGAAAATTGCCTCTTATGTGTAGATTATAACTGTGAAAGGATCATCAAAATCGGATGTCGGAGAATGAAGTTGTAAAGTGTCGAAATTTTTGATAAATCCATTAATAAGCGGGCGGAGTCGTCGGAGGCTGAGTCAAGTGTACTACTATGTGAAAGTGTATTCAAGGGTCAATGTGTGTAATAGATGAAAAATGTGAAAAACTAGTATAGATGCAGTTATAGTGTAAAATGTGTTCAATGTGAGTGTAAATTGTTTCAAAATGGGCAGAGTCATCTGGGGCGGGGTATGTAATGGGGTCTGCGGTGTGCAAGATACAGGTGGAGGCAAAAAACACTTTTCTTCCTTCCTTTTCGAGGCTTATAATTACGGTGACTTTATTGAATTCTGATCGGCTATTTCTACACCATATTAAAGAGCATATTTGATACTATCATGATACCCCGCCACAGGTTTCTGGAGGAGCGCCATCGAGAGATTCTGCCACGCGACCGTGATTCGGTACCTGACTTCAGCGAGATCGTTGATTTCTCCGCCACTGTAAGACCACCCTACTGAACTCCGCCTGAACCATGTATTGAGAGGGGGGGGAGGGGGGTAGTTCAGGTGACCTGCTTAGATATTCCATCTTTCCAGGTACTCAACGCCTTTCCATTCCAAGTAGGCGAGAGTTTTTCCAGCGCCCTTCGATTCCATGTGGTGTCACCCAATCCTGTAGTTCCCAAGAAGGTGATGCCTTTTCGTTGCTTCTCTCATTCGATCTCAAGGAATTAAATCGTCACATTTCATGATCATTTCTGCCCAGAAAAAGATATAGAAGGCGGCTGAGCATGGAAGGTATGGTTAAGGATAAAAGGAAAAGGTTTTCTACAAATATACCTGTATTTAGTGTCCGTTTTGAGACTTTCAACTGCATGCGCTGGAATGACGTTGTTGAGCAACCAATCCGCTTGATCTCGAACAATCTAGAAAACAAGACATTACTAGCTTCAGTTTTTTTTTTCACAAGTTTCTCGTTCCCAATTTCTAACTCATCTTCACACTCATGGAACTCTCTGCCGTAGAAGAAGTCTCAGTCATTCACCAATTTTTCGCTGGGTTTCCGGGGCACAAGGTTGATAATTATTAAAGGGAGTTTCGGATAGAGCACACTTCGGAACACTTCAAGAAATAGCTTTATCCATCAGGGTACAGCACCATACTGTTGAAATGGTGTGTCAGTACGAACCCCCCCCTTCCGCAGAGGAAAGGTCTCGCACGATCCCTCTCGAGGAAGGGTTTCGCGTACGAATCCTCCACATAAAGGAGGGTCTCGTTACGACCCCCCCCCTTCTCCAACTCCTACCTACCACCTTCCTACAAGTACCCAGCTTCCTACCTGTTTTCCCGCAAGGTTTTCACAGTTTTCACCCAAATTTTGCTGTCGAGCGGTGGGCGGTCGTCAGAAACCACCTACATACTATTTTCAACTACTAACAACTAGGTGGTGGGTATTTAGCAAGCATGCAACGGGAAAAACGAAAGTCAACAACCGGGAAAATTTTTTCCCAACGCGGCAAATTTCTCTCAAAGGGCACATACTACTCCCAGCTCTCCCAACAATCGACCAATACAACCCCCTCATGGTGTTTCAGCACACCAGATGGTGTACCTTCGCAACCCTTTGCTTTGCATGAGAAGGTCTCTTTCTTCGCGTTCATTATGTTCCCCTGAAAAGGGAGAACCACACTGCACAACCAGCCAACTGTTCGTTTAACAGTTATCAGAAAGGAGAAACAGCTCTAAGTTCGAATTTTCCTAGCCTCTGGTTTATGAAGAGCAGTGCAGTAAAATGGCAAGGTAGGGAACAGGCAGTTTATTGCGCATGGTGCTCACATGGTGTTGCATGAGAAGAATTAGCGCACAATCATGAACATCTAGTGCTCACCTTGCAGCGTTCAGTCAAAAACGAGTAGATCGCTCTATGAAACAGGGGCACGTCCTATGTTGGGGGACAGCCGCGGGGGCGGTCGTATTCAGTCGCTGGACGGAGGGGGGGGAGGGTATTCGGTCTGAGAAAAATTCCAGCATCTAGTTGTTAGCGTTCCAGAACTTCAATACAACTATTATTTACAGTAGTTGAAACTAATAGTTGATTGTGGCGACCATTTCTCTTCCTTTCCTAGGCGAGCAGAATTTTTCTGAGAATTTCAAAAAGACTGATACGGAGGCGGAGCTGGACATCGAAAATGTGGAAGACGGGGTGGAGGGGGTCGTGGAGAGAACGAAACTTGGAGGGGGGGGGGTGGGGGGATGGAGAATTGGATTTTCCAGCGAGCAGAGTGTGCCCTGTCTATGGAAGCTCTATAAGTCTCCTTTCCCTCATTATTTTTGTCTTGATATCCCTTCCGAAATTCCTGGATTTGGTGCAAGAACTTACAGTTAGCCCACCGAGTATCAGAATAATTGACGGTTTTCCCTCCGCTTCGTAGAACATTAGCTAAATTTCTCTCTGATACTTGCTGCTTTTAGCCGGGAATGAATTATGCTCGGAGAACAAAGAAGCTAGGAATGAATTTTTCCCTGGGGTAGGAAAAGAGATTTGAAGCGGCGTGAAATGGGTTTTTCTTACCCATCCATCAAATTTGAGCCAGCAAAAGAGGACTTGCATTGTCATGTTAGAGGACTCGAATAGTTTTTTGCTCGCCTTTCTAAAACTGTCTTTCGACAGCTCAGGCTAACTAATGCTCTTTGTCCTAAGACGCATGCACCACTCTTTTATAAAAACTTCTAGAATGGAACCCCTGAAGCCTCGCAGAATACACAAATGTGCACTTTCCTACTTACATCCCCTAGAAATATTCGAAGAAAATCAAATTATCAAAGACGTTTTTTTCCGCAATTAAGTCGGCCGCGGGAAACGAATCCTCATGCATTTGATCATTTTGTGGCGCAATTCGGCGAAGAATACCACGTTTCTCACATCGAAATGCGAGATAAAGACGTTAGAGAAACGAATTGCAACTAACATGATTCTTCAGCCTCTGAAAAGACAACGGCTTACAAGCGAGCTTGGGTATAACATAGCGTTGCTGGAGCATCGTTGGGGTGATTTGGTCTGCTCTGCCGGAATCAGTCGCGACGTCGACAATCTGCTGCTGGGCTTGCCGACGTCCGACAAACTCAACCAAGCAGCTAAAGGCCTTTGTAACTGCTCTGTCAAAGTGTTTCCCTAAGGATTATTTCGCTACTTTCTTTCCTGGCGGAGTTACTTGTGGGCTTGGGACCATGGGCTTACTGTTCAGTGCTGAGCACTTAACGCCGTAAGCATGTGTGATTGCAGGATTTGTCCTTGCAATCGGATAGTTGTACCCACCTGCATACGTTGAGTGTCCCGTCTCGCCTGTACATCTCCATAGAACGACATTCGAAAAGCGGCTTCGAACTAAAACATTAACTAGGCTACCGTAACATTTCGTGGCTCAGCGTTCACAGTGGTACCTGGTAGTTGAGAAAGCCGACAAGAATTATTGATAGGACAACGTCGAGCAACATCTCCCAAATGAAAAATGACGAAGCGAACGAAGTGTCGAAAAATCCAAGGCTTGTTTCATTTCGCAGCAATCACGAACACTGAAAAAAACTCGTGTTTGATTGATTTCTCATGCCTTTTATAATGGGTTCTCTAGAAAAGTCTGAAAAGAGGAGAAATAAGTTTGAAAGCATGTAGAAGGCTTGATCTCCTTCGGGCGATATCGAGAAATAACTTTTTGGAAGTGATCGAACGACTCTATTTATTATACAATGAAGTTAGAATCCTCATAATGGTGGGTGGACCACTGGTTTATGGTGCGCATTCACCAGCGAGCACTAGCGAGCATCACGGTTTAAGCGTCCGTTAGCTTCAGAACTAGGACAGTGTAGGTGTCAATCTAGCGAACGGCAGCGTCTGCCAGCGTCTACCAGTGTCCACCAGCGACTATCAGCGTCCCGAACGACTAGGAAATAGAAATATCGATCTAGCGTCCACCAGCGCACACTAGGACCAGGAGTAAGGTACTATGTATCCTCAGCTGTTTCACCCTCCTACTTCTCCGCACTCTCTACTCCTGGACACTGGTACACGCTGGTAGACGTAAGATCGATGATCGCTGGCGGACGCTGGTGGACGCTGCCGCAAAGTATTGGGTTGACCCATTGATTATGGCGTTTTTTTCCTTACAAATTTCTATATGAGAAGCGAGAATTGTTTCCAGTGTTTTGGATGCTGGCTTGCATAGATAACTGCCGACAGTTTTGATCTTCACAGCAAAAAAGTGGCAGCGCATAAGTCTTTACACCTTACACAAACTTGCATTCTGCCCACCACAGTTGCGCTCCCTCGAATCATTCAATGCTCGCAAGTTTTCGAGCCAAGCAGCGAAGACTCATTTGTTTCTGTTACCATTCAGTGTAGTGAACAACACAGGGTCCACGAATGTAACTGGGGGGAGGTGGGGGGGGGGGAGTTCGAAAGGTTTTGTCCATAGCTGGGATATCGATAAGAAGTAGAAGAGCTGGAGGAATCGGAGGAGTTTCTGTAGTTGGTAAAATGTGTCATCTTTGAAGGTAGTTCTCTCGAATGCTGTCACGGTCTATTCAGCTTGAGGTGATCAGAAACAGTGTGCAGTATCGGTACGGGTGATATGGCCGTGTCAGTACCACCTCGACCTCATGACCTGCCTACGGGCCTGAACGCATGCAGCTGTTGCCAGCTATGTACAGAAAGGAGGAAGTAGTGTCATTCTCACTGCAAATGGGGAGTTGGGCAGGGGAGGGGTTGTGTGAGGAGGCGTGGACAGGAGCACAGGCAGGTGGCTTTTCGGCTACTTGATGCCATCCTAGCCCGCGACAAGAGGTGGAAAAGGATGCTGTGGCTGCGTTTCAATCCACGCCCCCTTACATGCCCTCGTTTGCAGGGATAATGGCAGTTATATAACTCAAGCTGCGGGAGTCAGCCCATCTACAAGTCAGTGGTCCTATCCTAAAAGAGTGACAATACGCCGTCCGCTGAGGTAGAAAGGCTAGAAAGGTTGGTAGGCCTTTGTGGGTGCGGGATATGACGCCCGGACCGCACGCATGGTAAGTGTGCCACTTACCACCACATCACCTTTGCTTCACAAGTGGAACAATAAGAAAAAGGAGTAGGAAACAAGAATGAAGAAGACGCAGTTGTTTGGCAGAAGGAAGGTATCGCTATCAGAAATCCCACCAGTCCCCATCTCCCCTTGAAACCTGCGTTGTCCTTGAATTTCCCATGTGAACAGGCACGCTAGAGCGTTTGTTCAGTAGGCTTCGAAAAACCCGAATGTTTACAGAGGAGTGGTGAGCCAGTGCACGTTTCTAATTCATCCGACAGAACTCACTTCGTACTATGGCGCAGTCAATAACATTGTATCCAATCCATTCATCAAACAACTTCCAACGAAATAATCTTTTTTTTTGCAGCAATTCACATTTAAAAAAATCTTAGGGTTCGCACATCAAATAAACCTATTTGTCTTTTCAAGAGGAGCGGTTTTCTGGTCGAAAAACTCATCAACCTCTCGTGAGGCCATTCACTACCTTTTGAACTGTGACTTGGCTTTGTACACTCACACTCATGCCTCGCTAATAATTGATTGCCATTTCTCAGAAATGTAGTGGCGTGGCTGCGTACTCCATTCGAGGCGTGTAAGTTTTTGTGGGATATTATCCACTTGAGAAAATGCTCATTCTGCCTTGATGCTGCCCCCACAAATCAAAGAATTACAGCTGTTTCAAAACGCAACGTCCCAACAAAAGCGCAGCCGCCGCCAAGCTGAAGTGGTGGAAATAGCCCTTCCCTTTTCAGCTGCGGGACATAAGCACATACATTCAGCACAACTATACACTCATTATATGTTAGTGGGAATGGACAGGGCACCGGCTGCACGCTCCTCTCAACGTGACAGCAGTGAGATATTGCCATTATAGGGCAACTACAACTAGAACAAGACAGGATGACAGTTGTCCCGACTGCTAAGCACAAAAAGGTTATCCTATCCCTTCGTTTAACATGATGTACGCAGCCACACTTTTTCAATCAGTGGAGTGGGAAAATGGTGAAGTTCCCCATTGGTAAATCCCTTTCTGAAATGCGAGAGACATTTAATTAGCAGTTAGGAATAAAGTTGATCATTTTGTGGCGATGCGGAGCACATTTACTTCCATCGGAATCATAGGGCTTATTGAATGGCCAATTGTTCTTACAGGGGGGGGGGCAAAAAAAGAACTTTTCTTCCTTGACTTTCGAGGCGTTGTAAGTTACACTTTATTGAATTCTTATCGGATATTTTCACCACCATATTAAAGAGCATATCAAATACTATTATGATACTCCGCCACAGCCTTCTGGAGGAGCGCCATCGAGAGATTCTGGCACGCAACCGCGATGTGGTCCCTGAGATCAGCGAGATAGTCGATTTCTCCGCCACCGTAGACCACCCTATTGAACTCCGCCCGAACCAGGTAATTGAGGGGGTTTGGGTCAGATGACCTGCTTGAATATTCCACCTTCCTCAGGTACTCAACGCCCCTCCATTCCAAGTAGGCGAGTGTTTCTCCAACGCCCTTCGATTTCATGTGGTGGCACTCAATGCTGTAGCAGTACAAAGTTTCCAAGAAGGTACGGGCGACGACATGTGGGGTGGGCTTTGGGGATTTTCTTCTCGACGTTGCTCGCATGTAAAACGCCAGTGCCTCAACCTTAAGTCCCTGCCCGCGACAGTAAATATTTGCGTCTCCTTCCATTCCATTCCAGGTACGTCCGGTCCCTACCATCAACTGGCGCCTTGGCGACTGGGGTGAAGATGATGTCCTGGACCGTAGCGACGTTGACGGAGCTGCTCGATGATGGAGGTCTTCCAGATCGAGAGTACTGGTCTCCAGGTAGCTATCCATGGGTGACTCCATACTAGAAGTTTCGCAGCTGTTTGGAGGTGACATGAGTTCCGAAGGTCTTCTCCAGTCAGGTTGCGGCTGGAGATGACCTCATATTTTGGTGTACATGAAGGTGATGAGCGAGCGCAGCCTCCTGCCCTTATAGAGGACATCTTGCCATTCCTCCGCTCTTGGTACTCGTATCCATGTTTTCTTTCTGGCTATGCTGAAAACTTTGCTCGATATGCGTGACTCGGCGAAATGTCTTCTCCCCCTGCTATACCATGAACTTACGGGCCAGCCATGTACAAAAAGTCACGCCACCGTTCCTATCTCCAGCACGAGTCCGGCCACCGTTATTACCGCCCCGAGTGGAAGTTTGGTTGCCTGGCGGCGAGCCAAACTGGCGATTTGACCTCGCCCCTGAGTAAACGCCCCCCCCCCCCCTCTCCACTTGCTAGCAAGTGGCAGGAGCCGCTGCGCGTAGTAATGGATAAAACGCAACAGCTTGGAAACCTGGATTATGCGAGTTCGCGTCCCATCCCGCGTCCTGACTTCATGACTCAGCACTCCTCTTATGCTGCACCATCCTCCGCCTCACCCACCTCCAGACTACGGAATGTACTGTACCGCCTCCACCTCACATCCCGTAGATGCAGTGTGTTGTAGCCGTTTTCGCATGTAGAAACATGGGGGTGGGCGTTGTACGCCGGAGAGCTCGCGCTTGGCGTGGACAACAGCTCGTTTCCCACAAATGCTGCTACTTACCACTTCAACAATCGGTCTACAAAACGCTGTGGGTGCCGCGCCAAACCGTCCCCCCCCCCCTTCGCCTAAGCGCATCAGCGTCTGCAGCGAAAACGACTGCATGTATTATTTCATTGTGGTGATGACACAAATGCAAGGAGGGCTTGTTAGTTCACACTCCTTTGCAATACTTTCGAGCAGGCATCCTACCAGTTTTAAGCCTTGATTTGAATTATACCTCTGAATCTTACCTGCGGAAGAAGTCGAATAATGTTGGTCTGACAATAGTAGACAGCCGAAATGTGAATAAGCCCAACGATGATGCACTGAATGGTCTTCGGCCAGGCTCCCAGTTGTGAGAAATTGCAATGAGCGAATAGGGCGACGATCATGATGTAGGAAAAGAGCAGTCGCATCGGCATCAATGGCGTGGTTGGGCATTCGTCAAAAATACAAAAAGGCATCACACAAACCGCTACACCAAATGGTAACGCGATCAGTACCGCACCTGCAATCGAACCATCAATTTTGGTAGTTGTAATGTTCTTTCTTATTGTGGCAGTGAGATAGATAGGTGGAACACTTCATTGAAGGCCCTAATGTTTCGAGGAGATAGTCATTCTTCGAAAGCCTACAGCCGAGTCCACCGGAGTGGAAGGGTATGTGGCAAGAGAATCGTAATTCGCCGCGCCAGTGGGCGTCGCGTGCGACGTCGCGCCTGCTAATGACGACGATTTCAGGTGGTATTGGTCGAGAATAGACAATGTATGACAAAAATAGACATAAGTGTCCCCCATGTCCCTGTCTATATGAAATACGGTACTCCAAAAAAGGGCCAGCGCGCGAATTAGGCAAACGTGCGTTCTAGTGCCACGCGCGCAAGCGGCAATTTACGATTCTCTTGCCCTCTGCTCTGAATAAGGACGCTCTGTCAGTTGTTAGTATATGGGTTAATGGATGATAAATTTTAGTTGACCAGAATAGTAGGTGCAAACGCTTTTCACCTATCGGCTTTGCTTTGGCACAAGAAGACAATCACGTCACCATAATAACATGTCCATGGTAAGAAATAAGGCGCTGGTTTTTTGAAGGGACGAAGCTGGGATAATAAGTCCTGTTTTTATCAAACTAATAACCTTTAAAGAAAACGAAAAGTTAAAACTGACCATAATATGCCGTGGCTTGCACAAGTTCACGCATGGCATGGAGAGCTTTTCTGGGCTCGCAATGGGTACTCGATGAAAGAAATTTGTGACGATTAAATGCAATAGGCCACTTATATTAGAGAGCTCATCTTTCAACAGGCTGCAGACGTGTTATCTATGTCTTCGAAGATGAGCTAGTACGCGCTGCTTTGCTTCAGCGCCGATGTTGCAAGCACTTTATATGCATTGCCAGTGTATGAAACAGCAGCTGCGGTGCAGACGGGTTCTGCTGCAGACCGCTGTCACGTGTGTGACATCTGCAGACGCAGTGACCTAGTAGTGACAAGCGCAACATGTCAGGCAGACTAGCCAGCAATTCATTTCTGTCAGAACACCGCGCGAGCTCCTGCTTTGAAAAAGCAAATGCGGTCGAGGACTTCTTAATTCTTTCCAAAGGTATTTGTACTTTTTGGCCAATTGAATAAGTTCAGAAGAGAGTGAGAAAGAGAGGAAACTGCAAACAACCACCGTAAAGAAGTCACTGGGTCGATGCAGTCAGGTGTCGTCGCTATTTCGTACGAAAGGGTTACCTTGCTGGCATACAGAGGGGGCAAAAAAATGGAAAGGACCAATATTTTCTCTGTGGGACCCGGACTGAAGGTGAGCGCTGGCGGTTACATTGGGCAACTCGTGAAGAATATCCTCCTCACATGTGGTCGCCCGTACCTTCTTGGAAACTTTGTACTGCTACAGCATTGAGTGCCCACATGAAATCGAAGGGCGTTGGAGAAACACTCGCCTACTTGGAATGGAAGGGGGCTGAGTACCTAAAGAGATGGAATATCCAGTAGGTCACCTGACCTGAATCCCCTCCAATTACCGCTTCTGGGCGGAGTTAATAGGGTGGTCTACGGTGCGCGAAGAAATACGGCGCTATCTCGCTGATATCAGCGCCACAGTGCCCGGTCGCGCGCCAGAATTCTCTGATGGGCTCTCCAAGAAGTCTGTGAGCGGAGTGTCATGATAGATTTGTCTGGTCCTATTGATATGGTGGTAAAACAATGTCCGTATCAGAATTTAATAAGGACTTAACTTATAGCCTCGCAAGTCAATGAAGAAAGTGATTTGTTCTTTGACCCCCCCTGTAGATAGTGGAAAGACTAATAAGTGGCTGGCGCCAGACGTAGAAACTAGCCATGAGTAGCGGTTTGCATCTATTACCAACGAATAGTGCGCGGAAGAGGCAAATGCACTACCTGTTGACAGTCTAACGGTGCATTTGCCAAGGTGGTTTTGGCATTAGTTATTCAGTATTTAGTCCAGACTAAGTATGCAGATGGTAAGTACACTACCTATTCTAGCATCTACAAACTTCCATTGAGCATGTCTTTTGGCTTCCTACATTTTCTTGACATTTATGAGCCATGAATACTGTTGAGTTAAGCCTTATGAAGCTATTCAAAGTCTAGCGAGTCTAGCGAATCATGTTTAAAGGACAGGCCATGGCGATGAGGAAATTTCTTAATACGACCTCTTCCACGTGTATCCGCCAAGCAAGTCGTACTTGGGGATTCATCTATCCCCAGCGGGGGAGGTCGTATTTGGTCGCAGGAGGAAGGGAGTCGTCTTTCTGTTGGAGAAAATATTTTCAGTTGTTAACTTTTCTCGGTTTTCCCGTTCCTCGTGCTTCTCCCACCCGCCCCTCCCCGCCGCTCGACGGTAGTTTTCCTGGGGAGAAATGGGAGAATTTCTCGAAAAAAAATGGAAAAAGTTGGGAAGAAGCTAGATGGGTGATAGGTAGGATAAGAGATAGAAAAGGGGGAGGGACATACATGATGAGGAAACCTGAGGGAATCGTATTTTGCAAAACTTCCCCAGCGTTAAGAAGGGCCCTGCTCCAAAGCCTATGTGGAACAGAAATAAGATCAACCATAAATATGGCAAAAAAAACATAGCAAAATTGAATCGTCACCGACCCGAGGGATAACTCCCTCACCCTCCGGAGAGGTCCCCTCAGTACACAGCATGCCCTAATAAGAAACCCAGCTCACAGCTTGTTTTTGCACTATTGAACTTTGCTATGCTTAGCGCCTTCCTAAACCGTAGCTATATACCCATACTTTTCAACTCAAAAGTAGAAAAAATCCATTTCTATCAAGCTTTACGCAATAAAAAAATAAGCAAAGTTCAAAACGATATAAAGGCGAGCTTACCTATAAGACCGATAGCAGCAATGACGATGGTCAGGGCAAGGCAGAAATAAACGATAAATGACAAGGGGATCGGTGACGATGACATGAAGACGGCTATGGAAACGACAACCAAAAGTAACGCAGCTACCAGTATATCTGAAATTCGGTACTGTTTGGGAGGAAGAGTAATTGTGACTTGGCTGGGCGAGTCACGATTACGCTGTAATCCACTACCTAGGCATAAAAAACTGACCTATAAAGACGCCTGAATAGCGATAATGTGTAGTTTGATCAATTCGCTCTCGAAGGGCAACATCCTAAAAAATAAAAAAATAGAGACAGAGTGATAGATGACCGTTTCAAAAAAAGTGGATGTACAATAGTTTTTTTAGAGGTTCTTACTTGATGTAGTGCGACGGGTGTCTTGTTGGGGACGTGGCGATCACCTGAGTCTGCAAAATGCGCTCTGTATTCGTCCTCTACGATCTGAAAGAAGGAGGAATGATTCTGCGGGTTATGTTCTAAAGGTAACTCTCGTTAGTACCTTCTCGTTGAATTTAAGGGTCCATCTATTTAAGCTATCGTGGTGTTCCCAGAAGCCTTTCTCAAATCCCCCTGCCTCGCCTTGCCCAATGACAGCAGCCAGTCGTTGATCGAAATCTTTGTTATCCGTGTCGAACCTGGAAAATGTAAATGAGTAAAGGGTAAATCGATGAGATTGAATTATATCTGTAAAAAGATCATTAACAATGCGTGTCGGAGGTTAAAGTTATAAAGTATCGAAATCTTCAGTAAATTCATTAATAAGTGGGCGGAGTCGTCGGGGGCGGAGTCAAGTGTACTACTTAGTAAAAGTGTATTCAAGGGTCTATGTGTGTAATAGATGAAAAGTGTGAAAAACTAGTATAGATGCAGTATATAGTGTAAAATGTGTTTAATGTGAGTGTAAATTGTGTCGCGGCAAAAGGGGCGGAGTTATCTAGGGGCGGGGCATGTAATGGGGGTCCATTGTGTGGCAGTTATGCGAAACAATCCTAAAAAAATTATTGCGCCTGAATTTACCTTGTAAGGGAGGCTGCGTTGTGATGATGGGAGATGGCCGTATCCAAACCGCCAACAGAGCACAGATCGGAACCGTCTTGTAGAGATAGCTGAATTCTGCTGTTTTCTTCTATATACTGAAGAAATCGATCTTCCTGAGATTATTTTTCAAGAACGAAACCAAAAAATGCCCCTCCCAAGCTGTAACTGACTTGTAATCCCGAGCTTCGCGATCCTTTCACACTGTTGCTTCCACTGCTGTTCTTTTGCGTGGTTTTCTCAGGGTTGGAAGAGTTCGTCGTCTCCGGGTTACTATCTGAAATACGTGAAATAGCTAATTCTAGATCCGTACTGCAACCCATTCTATAACCGTACTATGAATATTACTAGTTGCCAAGGCTTGAAGTGAAGCTGACTTCTTGTTGTCCTCCATGATGCATATAGAATTTGACTGAAAAATCGAAGAACTGAAAAACGTGGGACGGATGCGGAACAGACTCTCTTCATTTATAAAGTCCCTTTTGATCACAAGACTGCTGAGTTATGAGCAAAAACCAGAGACCAACTGAGATTCCAACTCGCATCTTATGCTCACCGGGCGAGCTCGCTACCCATTACGCTACCGGGGCCGCTCTCACTCTCTCAATGTAACAGCGGCCTTGGATGGTGCTGCTACCCAATCAGAGGGAGATGCGCGATCGGGCTGGTCCAACCTTTGCCCATAACTCGGCACTCTTGGGATAGCTTTCGAAGCGCGAAGTGCGGAGCCAAATAGCAGTTAGCTTACTCAGGAACACTCGCTTTTTTCTTGTCCTACTACTGAAGATAGGGCAGATCTAACGGCTGTGTTACGCACAGCATGGCACCACAGGAGCTGTACCCACTGGCCCCGCATGCGCGGGCATATCGGTCTCTATCTCGTGTTGGAACGCTAGTGAATGGTTTGCGCTTTCTGGACTTCCCACTGCCCCGCTGCGACGCTATAAATCAGTACCCTATCTCGTGTTGGAAGGGGCTCGCGGACGCCATTCCCGCCCTAGTTGACAATTGGTTGGCGCTTTCTTTGGACTCAGACAGCTGCTTGAGCATTGTCGTGTACTGTTGTCGTAGTGATACTCTTTCTCACGCCTGAACGTGATTGAAGTGTCTATATCAACTGGTCAGACCGCGGCACGTTGTGCAAGTACGCTATCATCGCTGCCAAAAACTGTAGTTAATTCTGCGAATTTGCGGTGATTACCTGAAAGTAAGCCCGATGTGAGGCTGCACCCTGGAAGTTTGAGCGCAATTCTCTTTGCGCCACTTTTGTCGCTCATTTCCCGGAAGTGTAGCACGCTCCTTTGGCACACATATGCGGCAACAGCGACATTATTCGATCAGTCGATGACAACCGGGTAGACCTGTATCATTTATATGGCGGCAGAAGTGCAAGGTGCCCAAAGATGTGCTCTTACGGAGATGCAGCCTGCGATGTACATAAGTCTCTAGAATTTACTATACTGAGTTATTCCATACCAATATAACGGGCACGTTCTGGTGTTTGGGGAGATTTTTTTCTAAGTACGACCCCTTTCTCTCCTCCAGGAAGGTCTCACGCGGCACATTTACTTCCAGACACTCCTCACCAACTAGCTTCGCGACGGACAGCTTTCCAAACTCTTTTATAAAACACTTTCTCGGTTGAGCGAAGAGACAGAGGATGGAAACCTTTTCGGAAAACACTGTTGATAGAAGTCTGGTGCGCCGACTAGATCGCGTGGTTTTTAGTACCCGAAACGAGAAAACAAAATCAGAGAAACAATCCACCTGCTCAGTACGGGCCCCCAGACCGCCCAAAAGTTTGCGACACAATCAAAGCAGGAATATCCTGCTCAATTAATTTCTTCGCCCCGTCCTCCACGTAGAAAACAAACAGGAAAATTTTAGACAATGTACAGTGTCTAGCCACGGAGAATTAAATGCTCGAAAGAAGTGCTACCCAGAAATGGGAAAATTTCGTCGTACTGTCTTCTGAAACTCACTTCTTTCGGCAGCAACTGAGTGGATCGGTTACGATCGGCCAGCTTCATTCGCAGTGATCCGCCACCAGCACCTCGGATTGGATAAGAATTCGTGTGGTTCATTTTCAGTTTCCCAGCAATTTTCTGCAAATTTTCAATGAAGGCGATATATGGAAATGGAAAAAATCTAGTAAAGTGTAGTCGTTTTCGCTGCAGAAGCTGCGCGTGTCAAGGAGCTGGGTTTGATGCGACGCAGCAGGTTTCCCACCAACTGTTGTCGCTTGCCCGCTTCAACAATTGGTGGAGAACGGGGCCAAACCCAAGTTCACCTGATACGGCCCAGGTCTGCAACGAAAATAACTGTAGATCTGAGCAACCACTGCTGGCAGTAATAAGGCAGTAATCTCGGAACAACTGTTTCCTAACTCACATGAAACCAGTACTACCTTTTCGCCGCCACCCTTCCCCCTTCTTCCCCCAAAAAGTACTGCGAATACAACTGGAGGGCTTACGACGCTGTCATGTCTCACACTCCTTATCCCTAAGACGGTAGGCGGGGCCTTGAACATGGTATAGGATGGGTTACTTGTACGTTCTTTCAACCTGAGACAACTGTTAACTTGTTCTGAGCTGGACAAAGGCATGATTACAACTGCCCAAAAATGAAAATATCTCACGAAAAGCCTAGCTGCCGCCACGTTCAGTTCAAGTCCGCAGCCACGCCTACCCCGTCTCAGGGATTTCGAGTGTAAGAACTTAGGTATCATGGGACCCAGTCTTGATGTCCCTCAAGAATATCGCCGAAAACTGAGGAAAATGGAAGGCTACAGTTTTCTACAGTTCGTTGCAGATGCTGGGTCTTATCAGATGGAGTTGAGTTTGGTGCGTTCTTCACTGATTGTTGAAGAAACCCATTGATAACAGTTGGTGGAAAACGGACTGGCGCTGCGCCAAATGCGCCCTCTAACACACCCAAGCGACTGCAGCGAAGAATACTATAATTCAAGAGAAAAAGTTTAAACGCTTTGCTATGACCAAGGGTTATCAGCTGGGCAATTTGCAGACCATTTGGACAATTTCTGCAGGAGTTACGGCGATTCAAAGGTCTGCGACAGATTAACCCGTCGAAAGCCGTCGACTGAACGAAAATTTGGGGTGCTGCTATGATTTTTTTCCTTTGTTGTCATGTTCGCGATGTTCATAGGCTTACTGTAAAAGTGAACACCATTGAGAAACCCAACTGAAAAAATGATACGGGATACCTTTGTGGATATGGCTTGAGTTTTAATTACTTTTTATAATTATCTTTATAAACTATTCCATTAATCTATGGCTATAGATCAAGTTCAAAGCCGTCATTGTAATAAGCTATCCTACCTGCTTGAAACCTTTTCGGCTTAGCAGAATAAGCTGGGGGTCACTTTCTGAACGACAGCTTCACGTTCTGATACTCCCGTGTCGAGGCCATCGTCTATCGACTCCCGGAGTCTTCCTTTGATGAAGTATGTTTTCATACCTCAACAGAATATAATATGATAAAGTGGCCTTTTTCTGAAGCAAGGATCTAGAGACTCCTTGCTGGCTTCACAGCGTTCTCTGTGCCATGGAGCCTGCATTCTGTAGCGGACCTGAATTTGAATTATTCGAGAAAGTGTCTTTGATTCAATTCTAGGTATTTAAATTAGCCCGCTCATGTCCGGGGGTGATGGACGCGAGCTCCATTCAAGTGACAATTTTCGCTTTTTGTGCGGGTTTTCAAATAAAAATTTGTAAGACAAATCGACGATGTATACTGTCAACAGTGGCATTCAATTCCATACCTATGGTCGCTAAATGACTTTCCAAGAGAAAAAATGCGAAAAAATCATGGGAATACCCTAAGTAAGGGTCTGGCAACCTCTCTGGACAATTTCCACCTGATCGTTTATGTCAACAAAGGGCGATATGCTTTCAGCCTTGATCCTGATCGTTTATTCGTCGATCCAATGCTGATACCATGCTAACAGTGGAATAAAGGCAGTGATTGAATGAAACTCGCGACAGAACAAGCGGGTTTTTAGGATTTTTGGTGGGCGGAGCAACTACGGAGGCGTTATAGAACTGCGGGCGCGCGCTTTCTTTACTTGCCTGTGAAGCGTGAAATGGATGATTCCTAGGATGAGAAGTCAGTACCACTTGTCGAAGGGAGGAGAATCTTACAAGTGTTGAGCGGAGGACTGCCTCAAAAATTAGAATGGTAGTTTGGGGTTCCTCTCGCCATCATCCAGTTATTTTCGAGTAATATTTAAATCCATTTCTTTACTCTCCAGACTTCTTTTCATTGAAGCAAGGGGTATTTTTTTTATGGGTTACTCGCTGGTCCTCTTATAAAAAGCTTGAACTGATAATATTTTATTATACAATTACTATTTGAATGTGTATTAACAATGTGAAACTCCAAAAGTTTATTCCAAAAAACTCAAAAGACAGCAAAAGTCTCAAAAGTTTTTTAAAATATATCTTATCTGGCTATATTTCGGTGCGTAGCACCTTCTTCAGGCCTGAAATTATTTAGCTTGTTTTATGCAGAATATGAGCCTACAGAGATGTAACCCGCACGGACTCCCCCATACGAGGCACTTACCGAAATATCCTGGCAAAATTAGCAATCCACATAACACACTTAAATAGTGGGATGTGACGCGATCACATTATGACTTGCATAATGTCACGTAGTTCCTCCCTATTGTTTATTTGGGGTGTTAGCCGTTTTATTTCCAAGGCCTCCAATATTTTCCTTTCCATTGCGCTCTCTACCGAGCGGTGTAGTACTTTGACCATTAAAGAGGGGGGTGGGGGTTCCTGGTGAGCGTGCTCCATTATGCGATGCCGGGAGAAACTGCTATTAGGGTAAGAAGGTGGATTTCCCAGCGCCCTCCGGTGTTCGTCGATCCGTTTGTATAGGGGCCTCCCAGTTTCTCCCACATATTTTTGCCCGCATCCTTGACATTTACCAGATAAACTGTCCCCCTGAGTTGAAGATTTTAGAATCGCTGGCGTAACTACACCTGGCCTTCACATTTATTCATTAAGGCCCTTGCCTTGTATACGATTTCATTCATATATTAATGGTTACAAGACCACGCACCATATTGGAACCGCATTCCACGGCGGTACGGATTCCTTGGTATTACGTTACTATGAAGCACGGCATTAAAAATGAATAATATTGTAAAAGTGTGCACGCACTTCCTTATAGCCTACTATTCCTCTCACCAAATTTAAAACGCCTCCTTACATTTTCCAGGCCTTATGAAGATAAATGTGGAAGGGCAGGTTGTAGTTACTGCAGGGATTCTAAAATCTGTCAACTCAGGGGGACAGTTTATCTGGTAGAATGTCAAGGATGCGGGCAAAAATATGTGGGAGAAACTGGGAGGCCCCTATACAAACGGATCGACGAACACCGGAGGGGCTGGAAATTCACTTTTTACCCTATAGCAGTTTTCGCCGGGCTCGCAATAATGGAGGCAAGCTCACCCGGAACCCTCTTTGATGGTCAAAGTATACCCGCTCGGTAGAGAGCAATGGAAAGGAAAATATTGGAGGCCTTGGAAATAAAACGGCTAACACCCCAAATAAACAATAGGGAGGAACTACGTGACATTATGCAAGTCATAATGTGATCGCGTCACATCCCACTATTTAAGGGTGTGGTTAGGGTGGGTTGGCTAATTTGCCAGGATATTTCGGTAAGTGCCTCGTATGGGGGGAGTCCGTGCGGGTTACATCTCTGTAGGCTCATATTCTGCATAAAACAAGCTAAATAATTTCAGGCCTGAAGAAGGTGCTACGCACCGAAATATCGCAGATAAGATATTTTTAAAAAACTTTTGAGACTTTTGCTGTCTTTTGAGTTTTTTGGAATAAACTTTTGGAGTTTCACATTGTTAATACACATTCAGATGAGTAATGAGACTCCGGGACAGCACCATACTCCAATGTACTTTTTATTAGTTACCTAGAATCTCATAAACAAGAGCTAGTAGTTGATAATAGCGGTTTTTAGTGGGAACTAGGCACGCAATACATTAAT